GGGGAAATTGGAAATTTACTGGAAATTTTTAATTGGAAATTTTTAAGAGACTGGATAGCCACTTGTCTAAAAAAGGTGTAGGGTCTCCTGCTTGAGCAGGGGGTTGGACTAGATGACCTCCAAGGTCCCTTTCAGCTCTATTCTGAATTGAAAAGATACATATACATATACAGTACCTATGCATACATATAAAAGAAGGTAGTGTGAACTGTTAAACATGCATATTTTTCAAAATTTATGTTTAGAAACTCAGTAAAAAGCAAGAGGGCGGAACATTTTTTCCAAACTATTAAGCTACAAGCATTATACGGTACCTTTTTATTGTTCTCCGCACTGTATGTGAGCAAGCTGACCTGGCTTTATTTTGGGAAAGTGCTGTAAAAATGTGACAATAAATGATATCTAATCTTTATTAAAAAGCTTCGGATTTCAATAAACGTTTGACGTTCCATCACTCTTTGACTGTTTGGAAAAGAAGATTAATTTCCAAGTACTGAACAATTAAAACTGCTCTCTCGTGCTTCCGTCCCGGAATTTAAAGATGAATTTGAAGTTCTCCTCCAGGTTAGCCTGACACGGAAAGAGAAGCTGGAGCCTAAACATTGCAGTTCAGGAATGCAGATTTTTATAGTTCCTAAGTTAATGTTTCTATTCTGAAAACACACTTCCAAAGAATTGTGTAAGAACTGCAGCTATCCGCTTGAGGGAAAAATAAAAAAATTCCAAGTTTGTGAAGAATGGGCAGATGGCTAGAGTCATTCCGTGTTGATGGCCATCTACATTCACTGTAATGTTCCAAGGTTTTCCAATAAATATGCTATTTCTGTCCTACTCATATGCAGGACCCATCTGGCTATTACTATTTTTTTCAGTGAAAAACTAGTCAGCAAATGAATATGTTTACCCAGAAAACTGCAGCTGTAGAACAAAAGTTCAAAAAAATGTGTATTTTAAGATTTATACTTTTTCAGGAATTACACTGGAAGTGGACCACACAAACACACAAGCCTGTACAGGATTGCAATCATTATGCAAAGCAGGAAGAATAATGAAGATTAATTCCTTTTGGGGGGGGGGGGGGCGAGCAACTATAAAGATTTTTTTTTTTAAGCAAATGCATATGGGCTACTCATCTAACAATCCTGGCTGGCTAACAGTAACAAAACAAGTTAAAATAATAATAGAATGCTAACTGTAAAACAGGAGGCATGATGGTTCAGTGGTTAAAGATGTTGGGTTTGTCAGATGGAAAGCTGACAGCTGCGATTTGAGACTGAACAAACCAAGATGAACACAAATAAAGAGAACAGCTTGTCGGGCACCTTCTTCACATCTTTAGGCCTCAAATAGTGGTGGCGGCAACCCCTACTTAACTGGGCAAAATGGTGGCCTGGAACAAGATATTGTATGAGGTGAAACCTGGACAAAGAATTTGTCATAGCAGGCTTCCATTGGCCAGTATAACTCCTTTTTCATGATCCTGTAATCCAGGGGGTGGGATTCTACTGGTTCAGATCGGTTCGGGCAAACCGGATGTTAAGTTTTCATCTGGTTCGCCGAACCAGTATTACAACCAATCGGCTGGCCCCACCCACCCCTCCCCTCCCCTCCCAGGAGTCTCCACGTTTTCGATGCAGGTAAATGCAGGGGCTGCGCGGAGGCTCTGGGAGCAGGAAAAAGGGACCTTCCGGAAGTCCAGAAATGGGCCTGTTTCCAGCTTCTGGAGGGCCTCCAGAGCTCAGGGGAAGCCATTTTCTCCCTCCCAGAGGCCCAGGGAAGGCCTCCAGACCCTTGCGAGGGCAAAAAAAAGGCCCTCCTGAAGTTCCGGTAGGCCACGCCCACCCAGCAATCAGTTCATTGCCCGGTTGGTGGGATTTTTGAATCCCACCCCCGCTGTAATCTCTTAATTCATGGTAAAGTTGAGATCACTGGATAGGGCTGAGAGTTTCCTAGCCGATGCCCTTCTTGATGCCACATTGAATTCACAGCAGATTTTTTTTTTCTTTGCGTCCTGGGAGAAGAACATTTTAAAAAGTTATATGGATGGTTCCTTGAAGATGTATCAGAGCTTCAAAGCAGTCCCTGTTAGTAACCTTCACTGGCTCATGGATTATTATTATTTTTAATTATGATTATGCTACTCTCAGGCAACTACCAATGATCTCATGGCGAGAGCTGTCATATCGCTTGCCTTCTGTCTGCAACCAATCAGTTGTATCTCCCAAAGCAATTCTGAAAACTAGAAAGATCAGGCTTCATAGAGGTCACTATTGTAGGGAATCTATAATCCAGCCTATCTCACCATTCCATAGATTCAAGAAGGCCACTGGCACTAGCTCCTGTAAAATCCACCAAAGAAAGCAAGGATCCAGAATAACAGAATTAGAAGGGACCTTGGAGGTCTTCTAGTCCAATCTCCCGCTCAGGCAGGAAACCGTACACCACTTCAGACCAATGGTAGTCCAATCTCTTCTTTAAAACTTCCAGTGTTGGAGAATTCACAACTTCTAGTGGCAAGTTGTTCCACTGATTCACTGTTCTCACTGTCAGGAAATTTCTCCTTAGTTCTAGGTTGCTTCTTTCCTTGATTAGTTTCCCTCCACTGCTTCTTGTCCTGCCTTCAGGTGCTTTGAAAAATAGCTTGACTCCCTTTTCTTTGTAGCAGCCCCTGAGATATCAGAACACTGCTCTCAAGTCTCCCCTAGTCCTTCTTTTCATCAAACTAGACATACCCAATTCCAGCAAAGGTTCTTTATATGTTTTAGTCTCCAATCCCCTAATCAACTTTGTTGCTTTTCTCTATGTTCTTTCTAGAGTCTCATCTTTTTTTAACAGAAGATTCACACTTTTTTAAAAAATATACATTTAGTTTCCTGTAATATCTGCACTGTTGTAGCTAAAATTGCTTACTGAATTTTTTTAAAAAAAGATAATTGTATTGGTTCAGGAAGTGATCATTATACCAAAAGCCAAACAAATGAATTTCCCATCCCTATCACAAAATTAACCAATCAAAATGTTACTGCAATGTATTGGGTGGGTATCTGCTGACATCTGACGGTATAAAAGTAAATTACAGCACTAGTTACCAGGAAATGGGCTCTACAAATACAGAAAAGATGTAATATATATTTGAAAACAAGCCCTTGCAAAATTAAAAAGTAAATAGACAAGTTTGCGTTGTACAGAGACACTAGCTAAGAGATGCATTTGAACTGATATATTACTGCAGAAAGCAATTAGGGCTGTGCAGACCTGGGTTCAAATGGATAAGTTCATCCCTGGGTGAATAGGTAGCCACTATTGGAAAAATCTTAAAATAGCCATATCTTTCTCAAGGACACAGTTGCCCGCATGCCTTACACAGTTGATGTACAAGTCTCAGGACAATATCGCCTTAGTTCAAGGTGTTTCTAAAGGATACACATTCCCAACAACCTTTGAAGCCAGATCCTTTATGAAGTCCTTATCACGTTCAGGAAAATCAGAAGACCAGACAGTTCAAATGAATATAAAAGTTCACTGCAGGGTTATGCTCTCTATAAGAATCTGAACTACTAACGGTCAAAGCAAATTGGTGGTAAAGAAGAGTCAATACAATTCAAGATTTCCACCATGCTCAAGGTTGACTCAGTCGGTTCCATCCTTCTGAAGTGGGTAAAATGAGGACCCAAATTGTTGGGGGCAATATACTGACTCTGTAAACTGCTTAGAGATGGCTATAAAGCATTATAAAATAGTATATAAGTCTAAGTGCTATTGCTGTTAGACAGACAGCTTGAATACCCATCATTAACTTTCCTTTGATCAGAAGAAACACTAAACAATGTTGCAAAAATTATAGGAGCTGCACAAACAACTGACACAACAAATGATACATTTGTTGATATATTCATTCCTTGGCCTGGTTCACACCTCATGCTTCTATACCTGTTTGACATAACATCCACCTATTCAGGTAGTCCTTGACTTAATGACCACAACTGAGCCCAGAATTTCTGTTGCTAAATGAGAAATGTGTCAGGAGAGTTTGGTCCCGTTTTACAACTTTTCTTTACAAGTTTTCACACAACAGTTGCTAAGTGAATCACCGCAGTTTCTTAAATTAGTAACCCCAGTTTGTGAAGTGAATCTGGCTTTCCCATTGCCTTTGCTTATCGGATGGTCATAAAAAGGGGATTGCAGGAGATCGGGACACGGCAACCATCATAAATTTGAGTCAGTTGCCAAGCATCCAAAATTAATGTAACTCATGTGACCATGGGGATGCTACACACTTTTTTCAGTGCCATCGTAACTTCAAGTACCTGTATCTTCTTTATTTGCCATGATGGCAAGTAAACATTTTACTTCCTTGACTTTGTCAATACATCAATGCAGTTTTTACTGACAACCGTGGGAAGTGATTTTTTTTCCCCATTGCCTTTTGGGGGGTGGGAGGGGGGAACGTTGCCCAAACTGACGTCCTTGGGATTTCCTGGTAGTCTCCCATCCACCAATAAAACGTGACCTAGCAAAGGCATAAACGGGAGCGGGGGCTTCTTGAAAGCAGCTCTATTCCTGAACCTTGTAGCTTTCCCCCAAAAGTACACAACCTCCCCTTCACACAAATGTGGGATCCATCCAGCCGAGTTTAACCGTTTAATCTTACCGGCGTTACTACAACTCGCGTTACTCTTCCTTTCCCAGGACTCGGGCCTCGCGTCGCCTAGCAACCGACTCGCCCGTTAGCTACACCCGTTTCCAAGGAGACCAAAAATTCTCCGCCCTTTTTTCCCCCTGATCCCACCCCTTCCGATTGGGTAACGAAACGTTCCGTCCTCCTTCCCCGGCTATTGGAGATTTAAAAACCAAACAAACAAACCAATCCTCAAGCGTGCGAATGGCATTCCGGGATTTGTAGTTGAAATGCCCGACTTTTGGGCGCTTGCGTACCTTTGCGCGCGGGCGGGAAACCACAATTCCCAGCAGCCCTCGCTGCAAGTTTGACATGTCCGGGTAGTACTGCAGCTGCAGCTGCAGATCAGTGTGGGGTTTTGTGCATCTCCGGTTGGAGGCAACGCACGACTTTTTGGGGAGGGGGGGGAAGCGAGCAAGGTGGGCTTGTAAGGGGGTGTTCCGATGCAGTTGACCCCCCACCCCATGCAAAAACTGGGGAAAGGAAGACCCTACCTGTCCTTTCCTAGGAGGGGATGTTAGCAAAAACATCCCCATAGAAGCCAGGATGGTGCATAGCAGGTTGCCAGGATGGTGCTACCTGGCGGGGAAGGCGTTATCAAGGAGCAATCGTGGTTTGCTGAAGGGGAAGAAGAGTCCTCACAAAGTGGCCTTGTTCACAAGTGAAGCAAACCTGGGTCCCACAGAAAAGGACCCAAAGACTAATAAGCTTCTCAAGGAGTGGACCTTGGTTGTCACTCCTTTTGGTCTGCTGAAGGCGCGTCTCCCTTGCCACATTACAGTGGGGCCCCTGGACCCCCATAAGTACCCCGATTCTGACAAGGTATTTGTTGCCCTTAAGGGCAGGGATTCCAATCCTGACCCTGCCTCTGGTCTGCTTGTGAATTACGATGAAGCCCGGAAGGAGGTGATTATCTCTGGTGGCATGGACGGCACAGCTTCCCTGGATGTGAGGACCCCTGTAAATTTTGGTAGGTGCAGAAGGGAGAGTGGGTACTGGTAGAATGCAAGCAATCCTCGACTTAATGACCACAATTGAGCTCAAAGTTTCTGTTGCTAATCGGGGCAGTGGTGAAGTCAGTTTTGCTCCAGCTACATTAAAGGAGTTGTCACTCAATGCATCTTGAATGGATCAGAGGATGAAGTTTTATTTTGACCAATTCAGATATGCTTTGCAAGCAGGATACTCCATCTTGCTCTCTGTGTTTCACTGCTGACATCACGAAAACAAACTCAAGACTGTTCTAATCTCCATTCATTGTTAACTTTTTTTTAATTAATTTTAGATTTGGATATCAAAACAACCAGAAATGGCTCTGTGAAGATTGAACAAATGCAATGTGCTAACTGCAAAGTAGAAACAGAGAAGGGAGCGAGTATATTGAAGTCAATAAAGGTAACAATCTCTCATCATGGTCTTTCTTTGTTTTATGAATTGTACGTAATCTTCAGCATTTTAAATCTCAGGGTTACTTTTGGCAGATGCAACAACTGATGATTTCACATCCAGGAGATTGATTTCCTGTATCTGATGTTTTTGCTGGAATTATTTTAAAAAAATCTCCCCAAGCATTTCTTGGCTAGAGTTATTAAGCAAACCATGCTTCCCCATTGACTTTGCTTGTTAGAAGGTCGCAAAAGGAGATCATGTGTCCTTGGGACACAACAACGGTCATAAATATGAACCAGTTGCCCAGATCTAGTTGAAAAACAATTTCCATGATGCAGGTGTTCATTTTCTAGGAAAGTTCAAAGAAATATATTAGGAGAATCAGATTTGAAAGTTAGAACGTGCCATAACCGGCAAATGAATCTTAGAAGGAAAAAGAAAGTAAACTTTTTTAACACCTATGCAGTTTTCTTTCAGAGTCATAAAATTGATCTCCGAGCAAAAGGAGGGGACGTTACCTGTTTGGGAACTCTTCAAGGAAATACTGATATTCTTGTGTCACAAGAAAGTGTAAGTGAGAGCTGTGTGAGTAGCATAAATTAAGTTACACTAAAAGGTATATTTTTAATATTAAACAATACAGGAAGAATTATTTTATTTTTTTTGTACTTGCATCCACTGTTAATTCTTTCTGGGCTTCAGTAAGTATCTTCTATCAGAAAAAAAAATCTAAAAATTCAAATTTTAAAAACAATTCTGTGCTTATCTGCTATTTTTATGTTGCTTAATTCAACGCTGCATTATTGATTGACAATAATTATTGACAAAAAATCATTTTTCATGTACGTAGTACAAGAAAACTAAACAGCAGTCCTCGGCCCATTTTATATATATATAAAAAATCACTTGTCCAGTTTTAAATAAATTTATCGGGGCTGTGGTTCTTAATGGAATGCATTGGCAAAGTTCATGTAGTAGAATTTTTTTGGTATTTTTAAAAAGATAACAATCACCTCATTTTGCCGGAATCTTAATGCAGATAGTTCTTGACTTACAACAGTTCATTTAGTGATTACTTGAAGTTATAATGGGATGAAAAAAAGTGACATATGACCGTTTTTCACACTTATGACTATTGCAGCATACTTGTGGTCATATGATCAAAATTCGGATGATTGGCAACTGGTTCGTACTTATGACGGTTGCAGTGTCCCCGGGAGTCATGTGATCCCCTTTTGTGACCTGACAAGTGAAGTCAATGAGGAAGCCATATTCACTTAACAACCACGTTAATTAGTTACCAATTGTAGCGATTTGCTTAAAAATTGTGGCAAGGGAGGTCGTAAAATGGGGCAAAATTCACTTAACAAAGGTCTCACTTAGTGTTCTGACCCAGACCCTTTTCCAATAAGACAAACAATAACCAAAGGGAACAGAAATCTTTTAATGAGTTTTACGAATCCCCGGTTAAAAGGCTGCTGCAAACTAATTAACTTTGATAAGCACAAATCTTGCCAAAATTTTACAAGACTGCCAAAAATCACAGATAAGAAATATTTCACAACACAAGAGTCTTCAAATACCAAATTAAGATACTGTAATGTCCATGAGGCTGGAGTTTCAAAATGTCTTTGCTTCCTGCAAAGAACGTTCGTTTCACAGCTGGCTTTTATCTTCTTGAAGGAGGGGCCATTACCTTGCAGCCTTACTCTTGAGTCGCCCATGCTGTTTGTAGCTGCTCTTTCCTACGAGCAATCCTGCGCTCACACACACTTGGCACAGGCTCCTCGGGAACCTCCTCATCACTGCTGCCAGCCCCCACAATCTCTGAAGGCAGCAGTCCACTCCCTAATGGTCCTGGGCCCTCATGAGAGTCCTCACTCTCCTCAAACGCCCGCACCTGCTGCCAGCTAACCACAAGCAACAGAAATGGGCCCAATTGTGACCCTAAGTTGAGGCCTACCTGTAGTCCTTAACTTAGAATCATTCACTTAGTAACTAAAGTTACAACTGTGTAACTGAAAAATGACTTATGATGGGGTTCATACTTATGACCGTTGCAACAATTGTCTTGCTTACAGAAATTTTGGGCTGAATTGTGGTTATATATCAAAGACCAGAGGTGGTATTCAGCAGATTCTGACGGTTCTGGAGAACCGGTAGCGGAAATTTTGAGTGGTTTGGAGAACCGGCAAATCCTACCTCTGACCCGGGTCTTCTTTGGTTGCCCTGCACAGGAGAACAGAGCTGGAAATCAGGTTAGTGGGGTGGGGAGGAAATGGGGACTTTGCAGTATCCTTCCCCTGGAGTGGTGTGGGAATGGAGATTTTACAGTATTCTTCCCCTGCCACACCCACCAAGTCACACCATGCCCACCAAGCCACGCCCACAGAACCGGTAGTAGTAAAATTCTTTGAATCCCACCACTGTCGAAGACTATCTGCATCCTACATTCAAGCTTATGAAAAGTTGTTGAAAATCTCTTTTCTAAGAAATAGAGCGAGGTGCTATAGATTTGCCAGAAGATGGCATCTTTAGCTAGTGGAATTTCTCTTTGGGTAGTAAGAAAAAATTTTCCTGTCAGTTTTTGTTGAATGATCCTGAGTTGGGTAGCCCTATGAGGAAAGAATTATAGGTTTCTATAAATACCGGTAGTTCTTGACTTATAACAACAGTTCATTTAGTGACCATTTGAAATTACGATGGCACTGAAACTGTTTTTCACACCTTCTCACAAGCAAAGTCAGCGGAAAAACCAGATTCCCTTAACAACCGTGTGGCTAACTTAACAACTGCAGTGATTTGCTTCACAAATCTGTCAAGGAAGTTCGAAAAAAAATGGGGAAAACTTCATTTAACACATGTTTCCCTTGGCAACCTAAACGTTGGGCTCAATTGTGGCCATCAGTTGAGGACTACCTGTATGAGCTTATATATCTTAGAATGTTTTCTTGATCAACTTTTGGTTTCCTTTGTGCTCTCCTGTAAATACTTTTTTGATCGGAATCGGTGGAATGGCTATAAGGTTTTACAGCTATAAAATTAGGCATCCATCCAGGGTATTCTAAGATTTATCTGCCAAACGTTGGAAGGAATATCCATTGGGTTCAGTTCCACGCTGGGAAAAAGAAGCTAAATAAATAAATAAAATAAATAAATAAATAAAATTAAATAAATAAATAAATAAAATGGAGGCTGGTGGCTGATTGGCAAGAGATGTAGAAAGTTAGGTCTGTGCTCCTAATTAGACCCTTGAAAGACAGGGTTTGCCAGGCTTTTGGCTGAATGTGAATGCAAGAAATTCCCCTTCATTTAATAAAAGGGGTTTTGCCAGGACAAAGAGTCTGCTCAGTGCTTTTTGGGGTAGCCTCAGACAGAACAGTGTCCTGTTCTTTTTAATCCCGTCATCCTGGAGCTGGAGGTCTTTGGGGTGGAGCTACTCAGAAAGACTGCTTTCTGTCTTTAAAAGCATGTTTCTCCATTTCTCTCTTTGGGGGAAATATCGTATTCTGGCCTTGGTAATATTTCCCAAAATATTTCATTCTTCTAGGAAGGGAGGGGCATCCCACACAAATATAACAGCAAGGCAGCCAACTGTGTGTCAGAAATGCAATAGTAAGAAATTTGGCTGTCTTTTCTCACAGAGCGATTTCTGTTAGCAATCAACCTGCCTTTCGTTCGACCCTGGGGATCCTTTTTATAACAATTTTATTCCATCTGTTGTAGATGTCATTACGTAGTTTAAGATTCAGCATTTCCAGGATAAACCAAGGCACGATGAAGGTTTATGGCAGTGCACGATAAGTTCTCCTAGTCGGGGGTAGACTTCAAAAATTTCAGCAACCGGTTCTCTGCTCGGTTGCTGAGTGGGCGTGGCCATGGTGGGTGTGGCCTAGTCAGCCTCCTGCACCACAGTGGAGGAGGGGCATTTTTGCCCTCCCTGGGCTCCGGACGCTTTCCTCGAGCCTCCGGGAGAGTAAAAATGGCCTCCCCCAGGCTCTGGAGGCCCTCCAGAGTTTAGCTTAGTTTAGTTTACTTTACTTTATTGTCAATGCACCTCGTACAATGAAATTAAATACCATCTTCAGTGTACATTATGACTATGAAAATAAATACAAACACACCTTAACTACCATGTGACTAATTTAACAACTGCAATGATTCACTTAACGACAGTGGCAAGAAAGGTTGTAATATGGGTCTAAATTCCCTTAATAAATGTCTCGCTTAGCAACAGAAATTTTGCACTCGATGGTGCTCATTAAGTCAAGGAATATCTGTAAACAAGTAATTATTATTATTACTTGTTTACAGATATTCTATGGAAATAAGTAATTTTTCAATGCCAGTTCAGTTACTCCGTACCGGTGGTGGGATTCAAATTTTTTTACTACCGGTTCTGTAGGCGTGGCTTAGTGGGTGTGGCTTGGCTTGGTGGGCGTGGTAGGGGAAGGATACTGTAAAATCTCCATTCTCCCGCCACTCCTGGGGGAAGAATATTGCAAAATCCCCATTCCCTCCCCACCCGCTAACCTGCTTTCCAGCTCCGTTCTCCTGTGCAGGGCAACCAAAGAAGACCCAGATGATCAGCTGGGACTCAGTGGGAGGCAGAGAAGAGATGGGGACGGGGCCAGTCAGAGGTGGGATTTGCCGGTTCTCCGAGCTACTCAAAATGTCTGCTACCGGTTTTCCAGAACTGGTCAGAACCTGCTGAATGCCACCTCTGCTCTGTACCCCATTATTATTCATTCTTGTTACCATAAGAACACACGGATCAAATTAATGCCAGGATCTTGCCTAACAATGCATTTAGGAATGAAGTGTTGCTTTATAAAATGTGTATTGTATGTCCATAACCAATAAGCAGAAAATCTTACATCTCAAGGCCCCTTCCCCCCCGCCCCCCATTTTAAAGGTTTAAACCTTCATCGTGCTTTCGTTTATCCTGGAAACGATGAGTCTTAACTACATAACGATGTGTCTAACTGGTGGAACAAAATCGTCATAAAAAAAAGACAAAGATGTTTTACATGTCAGTGCAGATGTTAGAGGAGTGTAAATCAGTCAGATGCTGCCCATAAAACAATCACAATTGGAAAATTAAAAGCATATTAAATGTTCGATTGCAGCCTGAACCAGCTTGGAATGTAAGCAGCATGTAGCACAAGTTTTGTAAGAATATAAGTATATGTTATACTCGTTTGCGATCGCTCTCAGGTCTTGTGAGTTAATTAAGCAACTTTTGATTTTATTGCGGTAGATTTTGACTTGTCTGCTTTTAGCAGGTGGCAGTGCTAATGTAACCTTGGTGGTTTTAAGAAACTAAATACAAATAGTTCTGGACTTACGACCACCACGGAGCCCAACATTTCTGTTCTTAAGTGAGACATTTGTGGAGTGAGTTTTTCCCCATTGTTAAGTGAATAATGCAGTCATTAAGTCATTTCTGACTTCTCCTCCCTCAACCTTTTTAACAACCTCTCTTGCCACAGTTGATAAGTTAGTCACCCGGTCGTTAAGCGAACCTGGCTTTCCCATTGAGTTTGCTCATCAGAAGGTCGCAAAAGTTGATCACCTGGTCTAGGGACACAGCAACAGTCGTAAATATGAACCCATTGCCAAGCTTCTTGACCAGGGGTGGGATTCAAATGTTTTAACAACTGGTTCTGTGGGCGTGGCTTAGGTGGTGGGCGTGGCTTGGTGGTCATGTGACTGGGTGGACGTGACTTGGTGGTCATGTTATTGGCTGGGTGTGTGGCCAATTCAATATCACTCACGTCGAGGCACGCATCTCCCCGCCTGGCCTCTCATGACTGTGGGGATGCTGCAACAGTCGTAAGTGTGAAAAAGGGTCATAAGTCACTTTTTTCAGTGCCATTGTAACTTTGAATGGTCACTCCACACAAGCAAAGTACCAGCAAAGGGGGAGGGGAAACTCCAGAGATGTTCCTGAGACAGGAAGTCTAGTCCTACCAAGAATGTAATAAGGGTTAATGGAGAGGCAGTTTCTGTAAGCAACACCAGAATGTTTCCTTCCTGCCTTCCTTACAGGATTAGGCCAGTAATTTCTTCTAACAACTGGTTCTTCAAACTGCTTAGAATGTTAACAACCAGTTCTAGTGAATAGGTGCGAACTGGTAGAATCCCACCCCTGTTCTTGACTTTTGATCATGTGACCATGGGGATGCTGCCATGGACGTAAGTGTGAAAAACGGTCATAGGTCACTTTTTTCCGAGGCGTCACTTTGAACCGTCACTAAACGAACTGCTGTACGTTGAGGCTTACCTGTACTTATTGTTAGCGTTCTAACAAACATCCATTCCAAACAGTAACTCTAAGACAAACATATCTCAAAAGTACCTTTATTAGAATAGCACGTGGCACATCTGTGGAAACCCGAATCTAAAAGTTTTTTCGGGGTTTCCACAATTTCTCAAACTACAAATCCACCCCCACTTGGTTGTCATCGCATCACGTGGCCCAATCACGATCCATCCAAAAGTAAGATCCTTATTTCATCCTGCGCCATATTAAATGACCTTGAACTAACAAAAGAATTTTATTTTGTCTACTTAGAGCTACTTAATTGAAATCATCCCCCCCCCTTCCACTCTCCCAGGCTATGTGGCAACATGGAATGGGGCTTCCAAAGCTGACACTTATATTCTTCACCAAGCAGCTTATCATCATAAATATACTAGCTCTATACCTGTGTTTCGCTATGAAACTATGTGACTGGGCTTAGTTTGGGGGAGGAAAATAAGGGGGGCAAAATTCTGCCTCTGCCTACAAGCATCCATCGGTATTCATCTGGCTAGCGTCCTGTCAGTGTGTGAGAGAGTTGATGGCTGTTTGGAAACAGAAATGGTATTTGCTGTGTGAGCAAGAAGAAGACAGCAAGGAGCCTGGAAGGGGCTTAGCTGTTGGAACAGATTTCTTTTCAGATGGGGAGGGGGAGTAGAACTCCTTAGCATCAGAGCGTGTTAATAATAATATAGGAAATACTAATAGCTCTGATGGTCATTTTGAAAAATCCTTTCTTAGTGAGCACCTAGAAGCCAATAGAAACATTCATGCCAAATTTCAAGTTGGTAGGCTTTATGGTTCTGGAGATTTTGTCATGATGCGTGAGTGGTCTTTCGCTTTTATATATATATGTAGATTTTAGCAAAACTTTTATATATGTGCCGGCCTGAAATGATTCCATGCTTCTCCCTGATGCATTCATGGTTCCTTTGCTTTTCCACGGTTAGCATAATTCAACAACCTTCAAACATTTTATGTATTTACGAGGCTGGCACCTTGGCAGAACATAGACTCCTAGGCTGGAGCCAAAGCAAATTTACCAGCAGTTCCAACCGAATGAATTTTTTTTCCAAGGTGTCCAGGGAGAAGCCAAGATCAAACGCCAGATTGTTTCTTAGCTTTAATCTTTGCTCTGCAGGACAGGTAAGCCAGCCAGGAAGTTGATCTAAGCAAATCAGAAGTTGGGCCCTTGCCTAAATTGAAGTACAGGGAGGAAAGTCAAGAAAATGGCTTGGAAACCGAAATCTCGTTGCAGAAGATAGAATGAGAGGGTTGAAAAGGACTTCGGAGGTCTTCTAAACCAACCCCACTGCTTGAGCAGGAGACCTTATCCGTTAAAAGTTTGGGTTATTGATAGCAATCCTTCTAAATTACCTACCGGGTTCCTTCTTTGTAGAGAAGAAAACAGCTTCAGTGGAAAATACTTGTACCTTGTTCTTCATTTTTGCTTCCTCATTTATCATTTCAATCCTTTGAGGAGGAATACAGCTCAATCGGGTATGGGACCTGATCCAAGAAATTCATATTTTTCTGAACTCATACCTCCCTCGTTCCCTTGACAAACACCGACTACCTTAGATAGCACTAATTCCTTCATTAATTTGTAGCGTCTTCCGGCAAACATTCCTAAAATTTTCCAAGCGTTCTGTGCTTTCCATAACTTTGGGGTTGTTTCCAGATTTCTGGGAATCCCATCTTAGTTTGTTGTGAAATGTATAGCTTACTTGACCCGGGAGCTGAACTTTATAAGATAATAATATACACTTTATAGGAACTGCTGCTTATTTATTGACTGTTGAATTGTATCCCGCCTTTATTATTTTTACAAACAATCCAAGGTGGTGAACATATCCAACACTCCTCTCTCCTCCTATTTTCCTCACAACAACAATTCTTTGAGGTGGGATGGGATGGGATGGGAGAGAGAGGGACTGGCTCAAGTCACATAGCCAGTTTTCATGCCAAAAGCAGGAAAGAATAAAATAGAGGAGGGTAGAGTAGAGTAAAGTAAAGCAGAACAGAATAGGAATAGGAAATGGATGAATAGAGTAGAGTAGAGTAGAGTAGAGTAGAGTAGAGTAAAACATAACATAACAGAGCAGAACAGAATAGGAATAGGAAATGGATGAATAGAGAGTAGAGTAAAACATAACATAACATAACAGAGCAGAACAGAACAGAATGGGAAATGGATGAATAGAGAATAGAGTAGAGCAGAGCTGAGCAGAGCAGAGTAGAATAGAGTGGAGTAAATAGAACAGAATAGAACAGAATAGGAAATGGATTAATAGAGAATAGAGTAGAGTAGAGTGGAGTAAAGTACAACACAACACAATGCAATGCAATTCTTCATTGGCCAAGTGTGACTGGACACACAAGGAATTTGTCTCCGGTGCAGAAGCTCTCAGCATACATACAAGCAACAAGTGTTAAATCAGGATCATAATCATAAAATACAATCATCATAAATCATAAGATACAATACTCAGTGATAGTCATAGAATGCTAAATAAAAGCAATCAACATAAATCGTAAGACACAAAAAATGAAGTGATAGTCATAAGATGCTAAAGGAATTGGTAATAACAAAGACGAGGAGGATGATAATAGTAGTAGAGCCCTACTACATGGTTGGACATCCTAGGTCACAAGTCATTGTGGTGTGAATTAGTTGTTCATGGTCTCCTGCTTTCTAGCCTGGTGCCTTAACCACTGGACCAAACTGGCTATTTGTCAGCGAGTCAGAATAATTACCATAATACAACTTTATTGTATTTTTTTTTCTTGCAATAGAATGTGAACATTGAAAAACTCCAAGGATCATCCATTAACATTACAAGTGAAAATGGTTTGCTCAAAGCTAAATATTTGTATTCCGACTCCTCGTTTCTGACTTCAGTGGCTGGCGACATCTTACTGGGGAACGTCCATGGTAAGAGGGCAAAAAAGATTTCCTTAGAGCAACATTTCTCTACCAAATGCCTTTTTAAGGAAAAGTATTCTTTTTCGTACCCGGTTTAGTGCCTGCCTGTGTTTATAAAACTGAATATAGCACAGCCATTTTTTAAGTGCCTCAGGAGACTTAGAAGTTGAGCCAGATTTTGAAGATAACACAGCTCTATTAACAAACAAAATGGAACCTTTTTCTAAGGTTATGTTCTCTGAGAAGTATTCTGACATGAGCTAAAACCCAGGTGCCATTTACCAAAAGCTGCAGCCATATGTACAATTGCCCAGAACTAAAGCAATGGGTGGAAAGTAATCAAGGAGAGAAGCAACTTAGAACTAAGGAGAAATTTCCTGACAGTTTGTGATAAAAATCAACCATTCAGGAGACAATGGAGACATGTGAACAATAAATAAGAGCTTTATTATGAAGCTTTTGCAAAAGGGAATTCTGCTCATGGGCAGAAGATATGGTTCACAGGAAGGCTGGGGTTTATATACAGGTTCAAATATACAGTCTCTGCCCCTTTCCTGGGTTCATAATCTCCAGCTATATATCCAGCTACGCAACACCCCTATTTTTGTAGCATAACATCTGTTTCCTCGTCCTGTTTACCCATTTCCATTTCCAGTAATCTCCATCATTAACATGACACTGGACACCGTAGCCTGCCAAATGTATAATCTTTATACAAAACAATAGAGAATTCTTACATAATATTCCAGTGAATTATCACAGGTTATCTTAAATTAACACAGAGGTTAAAATGGTGTTACCATTGCTTTTATATTTTCACAGGTATAATTCTACACATCACACAGTTAGAACAATTAATCAGTGGAGCTACTTGCCTCCAGAAGTTATGAATGCTCCAACACTGGAAGTTTTTAAAAAGATGTTGGATAACCATTTGTCTGAAGTGGTTTCCTGCCTAGGCAGGGGGTTGGACTAGAAGACCTCCAAGGTCCCTTCCAACTCTGTTATTCTATTTTCTAAAACTTCATTTATTTATTTGAAAAAAGTTATACTACTACCAATGTTATCTAAAACATTGTCTCTCAACCTGGTTAACTTTAAGATGTGTGGACTTCAATTCCCAGAATCCCCCAGTTAGCATCTCGTGATAGTATCTAGCTGATCAGATACTTATTCGTATCTGCAGGATCAGGTCTTACTAGTATTCGATGGGAGGTTGTTAAAGTATACCGACCTTGCAGGCTAGACTTCCTTTTAAAAAAAGAAAACGGCTTTCTTTTAAAAAAAAAGAGAGAGAGATTTGAGTTATGCAGGCTTCTGTGGAGAAAAATAACTTCGACTTCTTTCTTCATTTTTAAGCAGTAGAATGTAGACGTGCAGGAAAGTGTTTCCAATTATTGTTCATGGGGAACAGAAAATAGACATGAATCAAATTGCTTCTGTCAATACATCATGACTAATTGCCCCAATTTTGTATTTGCTGGATGTCAGCCATAGTGGCAAATTAGATAATATAAGATAATATGTATTTCCATTTAAGAGAGCATGAAAATTAAAGAGTTTATTATATCCTATGATTGGTGGAATAGTTACTTGACCGCACCATTTTAAAAAATAAAATAAAATAAAAGTTCCTCTTCCAAATGACATGTTGAATTTTCTGCAGTTGGCTTAATTTTGCAAGGCATTGTTGATCTTAAGACATTTTATGTTTTCTTGAAGTTACAAACTCAAAGTGACAATGAATATTACTGGACAAGAAGAATGCAAAACAGATCCTTTTCAATTGTGCCACTGAAATATAAGATTGTTGTTATATAATTGCTTTATTTACAATACTTGTGGTGGTACAATATGGTTGCCTTATGTGTGTTTTCAATCTATTTAATTCTTGTTAATTATTTTTAACCGGTTTGAGCATCATGCCTTAGGGAGGAGTAGGAATCCAAGAAATAAATGAATTGCAAAAATTTCCTAGAGCTTGGGAGCGATCCCAATACAGCGAAGAGTCGGAATGAGGAGCTGCTCTGTGATAAAACAAAAATAAGAATGGAAGTAGAATTAAACCAGTCTGTGCAAAAATGATTATGATATCCTTAAGGCAACATTTGTGTATCTGGTACTCAGAAAAACATTTTAGCTGGGCGAAAAACAACTTACGGCACCTGGAAATTGCTGAATTATACCTTCTAGCACAGGGGTGTCAAACTCAAGGCTGAGAGGGCCACTCGAGAGGGCCGCTCCGTTTTCACAGGCATAGGGTTGCAGGAGGCCGTGGCAGCCAAAAATGGAGCTTGGCAGCCTGTTTTCATTGGCAGAGCCCTCTGCCCGCCACAGGTGCCACCGACAGGCCGTGCCCCCTCGAGGCCATGCCCCCTGATATGGCCTTCAATGAAATTGAGTTTGAAACCCTTGTTCTAGCATCTCCTACCACTTTCCAAGTTGCTATCGAGAGATGTTAGGTTATAGTTAAGCAATGCTCTGTCTCAAAGTAGTAGGCCAGGCTATGAATGGTGGTTTGATTGCAAGATAGCTCCCCGATTCTGTCTGTTTACCAGCAAGCCAGCCAAGACTTCTTCAATTCAGACTTTATGCTTTACCTAAGAGACAATCGGTGGATCTTGGAAAATTTATTCTTCCTGGGATTAGTTTAGAGCCAGATTGGAAAATTTATTCTTCCCAGGATTAGTTTAGAGCCAGATCTTGCCTGGAATCTGCTAAGCAAACCACAGACCTGCTGTTAGCTGAGAGCGGGAGGGGAGGGAGAGTGGGAGACAGGAAAAAAGAGAAAGAGAGAAAGAGAAGGAGGAAGATTCAATAAAACAAAATGAAGCTACAATTGTTCTGACCCATGCCCTTTCCCAACAAATCAAACACAATCCAAAATGAACAGAAACCTTGTAATGTTTTTACAAAATAATTAGCTGTGATAAGTACAAGCCTTGCCAAACTGTGCAAGACTTGCCAAAAGATAACAGACAAGAAATAATTTGCAAAATAAGAATTTTCAAATACAAACTCAGGATACTGGAATGTCCACGAGGCTGGAGTTTCAAAATGTCTTTGCCTTCTGCAAAGAACGTTCATTTCACAGTGGGCTTTTATCTTCTTAGAGGGGCCATTACCTTGCAGCCGAGTCACCCGTGCTGTTGTAACTGCTCTTTCCTGCGAGCAATCCTGTGCACTCACACTTGGCACAGGCTCCTTGGGAACCTCCTCATAGCTGCTGCCAGCCCCCACAATCTCTGAAGGCAGCACTCCACTCCCTAATGGTCCTGGCCCCTCATCTGAGTCCTCGCTCTCCTCAGCCGTCCACACCTGTTGCCGGCTGACCATAACAACAATTTGGTAAAAATAGCACTATATTCCTGCAGTGAAGTGTGGAAAATAAATTTGGCCCTGCTGGAATGTCTTTGGCATTAGTTTGTAATAGCACTGACTGCTGTTAATTTTTCTCAGCATCCCCAGGGTCACGTGATCAAAATTTGGACACTTGGCAACTGACTCATATTTATGACAGTTGCAGTGTCCTGGGGTCACATGATCTCCTTATGCATCCTTGTAATAAGCAAAGTCAATGGAGAAGCCAGGTTCACTTAACATCCAAGTTACCAACTTAACAACTGCAGTGATCGACTTAACAACCATAACTTCAGCAATAGAAATGTTGGATTCAGTTATGATCATAAGTCAAGGACTTATATTTCTGTACATTCAATAATACAGACAGTTTCCTTCTGCCTTTATGTGAATGTGGGTGTGCGGTACATATTTGTAGGAAAAGAGCAGGTAGAGCTGGAGGGAGGAATTAAGCAAGTCATAAACCTAGAATTGTTAACGAACGGTCCAACTTCTCTTGAATTCTGTTGACCCTCATCTGTTCGCAGTTTACACTAGATTCTTGTATGTAAGCTTGGGTAATAAATATTCTGAACTTAACAACTTAACGTACGATCCTGTTCCTTTGCGTCTGATAATACTACAAAAAGGAACCTCTGATTCAATTCATAGTTGGTTTCAATCCCCTTTGGCTTCTTGCTTGTGCACCACAATGAATTGCGCTGTGTGTGAAGTGACCCTCACATTTTAAGATACCCACTGCTCTTCCAATTTCGTTACAGGTGATATTACCTTGGAGACCAAAACAGGGAGCATCACAGTTGGTAAGTTCTTGTTCTCCTTTCCTTGTTCACGCCTTTGTTTTTAATTAAGACAACACTGCTAAATCAGTTCTATGGGTTGAAAAGTTGGGCAGCTGTGCCTGGACATTTATATATATAAAAGCGAAATACCACTCACACATCATCACAAAATCTCCAGAACTGTAAAGCCTACAAACTTGAAATTTGGCACGTATGTTCCCCTTGGCTTCTAGGTGCTCACTAAGAAAGGATTTTTCAAAATGACCCTCAGAGCATTAGTATTTCCTATGTTATTATTAACACGCTCTGATGCTAAGGAGTTCTACTTCCCCTCCCCACCAAAAAGAAATCTGTTCCAAATGCAAAACATGAGCAGAGGAGTTTCAGTTTTAGTTTTAGTTTCACAGCAGCAACCAGCTTTAGTAGAGAACAGTTGAGCTAAGCCACGCCCAGGCTCCTTGCTGTCTCCTCCTTGCTCACACAGCAAATACTGTTTCAGTTTCCATGTTTCAGTTCCCAAACAGCCCTCAACTCTCTCACACACTGACAGGACACTAGCCAGATGAATACCGATGGATGCTGGTAGGAAGAAGCACAATTTCCCCCCCAAAAACTAAGCCTGACCACATAGTTTCATAGCGAAGCATTCATGAATTTGGATTCAACGGTTCGTCTGCGGTGTTTTGAGTTCCACGGCTGGCAGTTTTACTACAAGCTCAACACAGATTGGATGTAATTCACTATGGCTTTATAGCAGAGTGGCAGTTTTACCCATTGGCAGGAAATAGGTATGTTCATACCTCACGCTAAGCCACCCTGCTGTTTATTTATATTTGGGCTTGCATCTTCTGTGAATCCTTTCATTGTAAGTTTATAAATCATGAATTATGATGCGGCTCAGTGGGTGATAATCTTTTGCTCTGCTCCAAACGAATGGGCTGCTAAGCTTATTACTTCAGCGTCTTACACGGCTCAGATATTTGCAGGGAAATTGTCTAGACCAGTGTCTTTCATACTTGGCAAATTTAAGATGTGTGGATTTCAACTCTGCCTGGGGAATTCTGGGAGCTAAAGTCCATACTTCTTAAACTTAAAGTAACTTTGAGAAGCACTGATCTGGTTGGGGAAGAAAATATGTTGTTGAATGGCCATATCAAGTTAAGGTCAAATGACAACCTATGAAAAGCTGCTGCTGTTGTTTTAACCATTCAGTTGTGTTATTAATAATGTGTGTGTTATCTAAACTGAAAGGTCTCAGGCATTTTGGCTCCCCTGTGTATATTTATTTTTAATATGACGGGTTCCCAGATTAAATTAAGCAGCATCAGAATTCAGTGTGGTCTTATCAAATAATCTAAGCTTGTTAATCAGTTGTTCATTCCTTTACTTTGGCACATAATGTAAGTAAGCAATTATTTCTCACTGGTGTGTTGGCAAGCAAAAGAAATTTATTTTGATAGTGCGCTATGTCAGAGGGTTTCAAACTTTTTCAGAATGCAGAATTCCTTCCCTAGATCCTTGAGGATTTCAGTCAATGAATCCTGTTAGAAAAAGAAAGTATCTTGTTTAACAGAATAACAGAGTCGGAAGGGACCTTGGAGGTCCTCTAGTCCAAGCAGGAGACCCTATACCCGTGATGGTGAACCTATGGCATGCAGAGCCATTTGTGCAGGCACGCGAGCCCCAGCCAAACTTACCTGCGCTGCGCATGCGTGCCTCCCAGCTGATTTTCAGTCGCCCAGAGGCTCAAGGGAAGCCTCTGCAGCCTTTGGAGGCCGAAAAATGGGAAATGACATAACAGGCCCATTTTTTTTGGCCTCCAAAGGCTTCAGAGGCTTCCCTCGAGCCTCTGGGAGGCCTCAAATGGCCCGAAAATCAGCTGGGAGGTGTGCAGTGCAGGTAAAGGGGTGGCAGGGGGATCGCACATGCATGCGCAGGGGCGTGGAGGGAGCATGTGCATTGCCTTCTGGGTGCTGGCATGCGAGCGCGCAAGCACAGGGCACAATTTTCGGCACAGGAGCCCAAAAAGGTTAGCCACCACTGCCCTATGCTATTCTAGACAAATGGCTGTCCAATCTCTTCTTAAAAAAACTCCAGGGGTGAAGCACCTACAATTTCTGAAGGCAAGTTGTTTCACTGTCAGGAAATCTCTCCTTAGTTCTAGGTTGCTTCTCTTCTTGATTAGTTTCCATTCATTGCTTCGTGTCTTGCCTTCAGTGCTTTGGAGAATAGCTTGACCCCCTCTTCTTTGGGGCAGCCCCAAATATTAGAAGACTGCCAGCATGTCACCCCTAGTCTTTCTTTTCATCAAACTAGACATACCCAATTCCTGCAACCATTCCTCATCCAGTCCCCTAATCATCTTTGGTGCTCTTCTTTGCATTCCTTCCAAATATTGAAAGAGAATTAGGCTAGGGATTCTACTATCCAGGGGGGATGCAGTGGCTCAGTGGCTAAGATGCTGAGCTTGTTGGTCAGAAAGGTCGGCAGGTCGATGGCTCGAATCCCTAGTGTCGCATTAACGGAGTGTCTTCAAAACTGAAAGCAGTCAGGTTAAAAACCGCTTAGAACAAGAATCACTTGTGATCTCAGTTTGCTTCGAGATGATGCTTGTTCCCATGAGTTTTTGTGCAGCCATATAATTTTGTACGACCATATAAATATAAAAGGGACACGGTGGCTCAGTGGCTAAGGCGCTGAGCTTGTCGATCAGAAAATGGTCGGCAGTTCGAATCCCTAGTGCTGCGTAATGGAGTGAGCTCCCATTACTTGTCCCAGCTTCTACCAACATAGCAGTTCGAAAGCATGCAAAAAAATGGAAGTAGAAAAATAAGGACCACTTTGGTGGGAAGGTAACAGCATTCCGTGCACCTTCAGCATTTAGTCATGCCGGCCAGATGACCACGGAGACGTCTTCGGACAGCGCTGGCTCTTCAGTTTTGTAACAGAGATGAGCACCGCCCTCTAGAGCCAGGAACAACTAGCATGTATGTGTGAGGCGAACCTTTTACCTTTACCTCAACCATCTAAGGGCAGAAATTTAGGGACCTAGAATAATCCAGACTGTACCCATAATATTTTTGGACAGCTATTTACCTGTCTAAAAAGATGCCCTTGAAACCTCAGGAATTTTAACCTAGGCTGTAGCAACCCAATACATGTGCAAAATAAATAAATAAATGTATGATCACTTGAATATAACATCAGAGGAAAATAGATCTTGTTTTGTTTTTAATAAGTAAAACCATTAACTTGGATTCAAATGGAGGAGAAAATATTGTTAAAACATATACCCGAGACATCACACACGCCGATAATTCAGTCCAGATTGTTTCACCACACACAGGCAGTCCACAAAATGAATTTATGGTGCTACATTTGTCTTGATACATTTATCTCATTTATTAGTTGCATCTGGTTTTGTCTGAGATATCTACTGAATAATTTTGGGATCTAGAATCCCTTATGCTTCGTACTGGGAACGAACGCACTACAGAATGAGGCGGGGCAGCTAAATTGGTTGGTCTGGCTTTATTGGTTTTCGCACGCTAACAGCAAACAAGCCCCCTTGAGGCAACAGATTTTGGCCTGTCTGACAGCTTCTTATATAGTCGGCTGTCAAACTATCGGCCAATCAGGTCGCAGCTGGGCGCCCCCTGCTGGAACCAGGCCAGAGGGGGAACTTCAGAACATAGCACCCTACATGAGTTGTTCTAATCATGTAAATTAATTTCCATTAGTTTCCAACTGGTTTGGAAGCAAAAATGCGTTTCCAAAGAACATTCCTTTTTGGTCAAGTCTTCCTTTTGTGGAGATGCTGTTGCTGAACGTTCAGAAAAATGGATTGTTTAATCTTTACCTTAAGAAGGTAATTGATAGTCATCTTCTTTTAATGACCCCATAATCCTTTGCAGGGTGGAGTCTGGGCAACTGAATGGAGTTGAGTGTTTCCTGGCCGGATGCTCTTCCTGTCACCAGTGCAGAGTTATATTTAGCAGATATATTCTCAGTGTGCTCAGAAAGAGAAATATCTGCCTCTACCTAGGATCGAACTCACATCCTCTTGATTGTGAGGCGAGAGTTCCACCTCTAGGCCACCACACCACTCTAGAAGGTAACAGATAGGAGTTTTAATGAATTAGTTTCCTGAGATCTTGATGTATGTTAGCATCCAAGAGTCTAAATATTATCGATTCCAAGAACCAAGGATGTTTGGATGCCAAATCTTGGAAATTTTAAATTTAGACAAAGATGTCACAAAGTCACTTCTCCTTTATATTTGTCTCACGGCTTTTTCCCTCTCATCTGTGGGCCAGATAATCTTTATCTGTTAAAGAAATTTGGAAATTAGGAAGAAAGCTTGATAGGAGAAAATTGTCACATTCTTTCTGAGGGAGCATTTGTTGAGTTTTTCATTGCTGAGCAAGAATCTCTTTTCCTCTGATGATGTACCGAGTTCTTGCAACTGTTCATCATCCGGTCCCCTAATCATCTTTATTGCTCTTTTCTGCTCTCTTTCCAAACATTGAAAGAGAATTACCATAGGGGTTCTACCTACCAAGGGCAGAAATTTAGAGATTAGGACTCTACTCGACTCGACTCGACTCTATTCCTGAGTCAATAACATAGCTATGTTCACATCTGTTCACATGAACACATATTTGGAAGACACAAAGAGCATTATATGAACAAGCTCTGACATTTATTTGCTCCACTGTATGTTCTGGATGTACTTGTAAACTGTTGTTGCATCATGCAACAAATACACATTAGCACAATGAAAAATCATTTAGCTCAAGATTACATGCCTATGATAAGTATGTATTTTATAGAAGACCAAACCAGATGATTCACATTAACCCCGTAGAGCTGAGGTGTCCAACCTTGGCAACTTTAAGTTCTGTGGACTTCAACTGCCAGAATTCCTCAGGCAGCCATGTTGAAGTCCACAAGGCTTAAGGTTGCCAAGGTTAGACACCCCTGCTGTAGAGTAACTGTGGCGTGTTTAGTTGGGGCAGTCA